GCGCTAATTCACACCCTCAATGTTAGAATTGACCAATTGAGGGATATAAAATTATGGCGTTTTTCGAAGCCCAGCTTTTCTTCATATAAACACCTCATGAATCCTGACTGTGACAATTGCCGCATCTTTTGTAATTTTCCCCTAACAATCCGGGTGTGTAATCAGAAACAAAAACAGAATCAAAAACAAAATCAGAAACAGAAACAGAAACAGAATGAAAAACAGAAGCAGAAAAAGAAACAGAAGCAGAAACAGAAACAAAACAGAAACAGAATCAAAATCAGAAACAGAAACAGAAAAAGATACAGATACAGATACAGATCCATAATCACAAACAGAAACAGAATCAGAATCAGAAACAGAAAATTAGTAGTTCTGAGAGAAGAACTTCACCACCATATGTTACTTACGATAATCTAAGAAGTGACAGGAAGATTTCCTAAAATGAAGACGGTGGAGGTCTCTTATTCTTCTCTCCCAAAAGGTTTTATCATCTCGGATGGACTGCATTGATAATCAAGTCCTATCATCCGGAGCATCGGATGACACATTGACACGCAGTCCGGGTGCCTGTCGCCGAGTTTAAATGACCTTCGGTGTGAGCCAAGCCTTCGCAAAATCACATGCATAGTGGAATTGTAGCCAAGCTTTTCAGTATGCCGGGGCCTAAGAGTGTGTTGTGTGTTTAGGCGAGGATCGGTTGTGAAGCTTATTGATGTTGTAATAGTGTCTTGTGGCATGTTTCCGTTCCATTTCTGTTGCCCAGTGGGATGCAAAATGATGGGCATTCGCAGACAGAACTAATTGTGTGAAATTCCATGCAGGCGGTCAGGAGTGGAGAGTTTGCGACTGTCCCGTTGGAGAAGTCGACCGAAGCAGCAGCAGAGCTGAACTAGACGATGCCTGAAAGAGGCCCCTTCCACACCTGTCGGTTGGTATGTGATTGCACAAGTGTGTCGCGCGTGTGTATTGCGCTTGCGCATGATTGATTGCAACTCCACGGAATTAGGCGAACCGGTATCATGCTAAGCTGGTAAGCTGTGTCTTGTCGGAGGAAAACCCAAAAGAGTGGGTTGTCCGCTTTGCCCACGGCTGAAAGCGCGAGTTCACGTTGAGTGCAGTCTTGGCTACAGCTGCGCTCGCCTCCCATGCCGATATGCTAGTACCGCCGTTAGCAGTAAACCAGTTGGTAGGGAAATTGCCAACACGAATTTCGGATTTGCAGACACTACAAGTAGACAGAACACATACACACATACATGCACAGACGACTTCACGTCGGCATGCTGTAGAGAGACTATAAAATAAACGCCTGTGGCAGGCTTGTCCACGCATCAAACCACTCGAGCCTCGTATTTTTTCGCTTTTGTTAAGCCCAAGATGCCAAGTCGAGTATGGAACTATGCAGAAGAATGCACTTAAATGTCTATGGCGTCCATT